CTAGAGTAAAGCAGGAGAGGTTTAACTGAACTTTGGATTTGGGGTTTTTTTTAAAAAAATAGCTGTGAAAGACATCTCTGAAAGGTTTCCGGTGGCTTCACTGCAAAAAAGGAGATTTTTTGCACACCCTTTCCTGTCGTTTTGGAAATGGTATTTTCCGTTGTAGTATTACAGACATTGCACTCGCACTTACGGATGAACCAACTCTAAAACCAACTCCAGATTCCAAAAACTCTGCCTGTCAAATAAATTATTCCATGCTGGGAACCAAGGGTTTCTAATGACGGGAGCGTAACTGTGACCACTGACCGAACGAACATCAGAAAGAAAATTTATTGTGTTAATTACATCTCCCTTGCAACTCCTAGAATGAGAGCTCTTGGAAGAAGTTATTGGAAATGCCAAATATTGACAATATTGATTAACTTTGAGGGTGGTAATAAAAATTCTTCTGTGTCCAGAAACCTGGTTTGCTGCTTTTTTTTTTCCCCTCTTTCTCCCCTATCTTCTTCACCTTCTCATCTTAACCTTTTCATTTTCACTTCATTAAAAGCAAAAAACCAAAAACTAAGTTCATCTGTTTTGTCCTTTATGACCTTGGAAAAGCAGAGATGGTTTCTTTAATGATCCTTGCGAAGGCAATGAAATTGGGCGCGCTCACCCACCAGGAAATTTCTCCAAATCATTTTTGGAATAATCGGTGGAATAATCGTTGGAATAATCGTTCCCTAAGAGTTATTTCCTTACACCTCTGCGTGAACTCTCGCGATTCATTTTTTTCCCCCAGCTGGATGTGGACGGAGCTAAATGTGAAAAAAGTAAATAAAAAAATCCTAACAATCTGGAATGAATTTCCAGCAGGGCCGTCCGTTGGAATAACTTTTGGGGAGTAATTAGTCCGTCGCCGTTCTGCTGGCTGTCGTCCAAGCCTTTACTGGGAGTTATTTCATTTTTTTGGCTGAGCCGAGGGCACAGGTTTTGCTTTTTAAAACGCTTTAAGGATGCAAACTACCACCGGTGGGTTTAATTGCAAAAGCCAAATGTTCTTATTTTTGGATTCCCACCACAGGACGCCTCTGCTGAGCCCCCCCAAAATCTCTAATGGGTTTGAGGATGCAAATCAGAGGAGCTTCCCCGCTAAACCTTCGAGAAGAGGACATCGCTCACAGGGGAAAGCAAGCGCTTATTATTATTTTTTTTTTTTCCACACATTTTCCCCTGAGACAAATATCAATACGATCATCCAGCGCCGAAAATCTGCCTTGAGACAGGAATCGATATTTCTGTTTTAAGCCTCGTTCGCGCAGAAGGCGGACGTGCCAAACGAGCCCATAATGGATCGGGCGTTGACAGTTGATCATCTGTCAGCAAAACACTTCAGAAATATTTCTCTCACACCCCGTACGAAGATATGTATGAGATCGCTGTTCATTATACAGGTACAAGAAGACACTTCTTTTTATTTTATTTTTTTTTTTAAATTAGTATTTGCAGATCACGGAAACGATTCCTCGGTTCGCTTTTAATTCAGCTTGGTTCCGCTTTGGGAAGAGCAAAGCCAACAAAAGGTTTTGGAGGATACCGTCTTGTTTTTTTTCAAGCCAGAAAACCCAGTTTTTGTTGTGTGGCCGCTCCGCCTGATTTTCTCCTTGACATTCCAGCTTCCTCACCAAGCAGCTAAATCTGTTTGCGGGGGCTCAGGGAAGACTTTGGGCATCGGAAAACACCAAGTATCAATCCCTTTAAAACGCAGCGCCGACCGTATCCGTTCTTTTTGTGCTTTTTTGGCTCAGGTGCAGCCGAACTCCTGCAAAAACCTCAGCGAACAACTAAATGCTGAGCGGGAGGACGTTCAGATCCCTGCTGACTCCAAAAGCCAAGCCCAAAATAACTCCCGCAGAAGCGCGGCTGCGTTCCAGGGGCTCCTTCCAACTGGACACGCCGAAATCCTGGCCTACCCCATCCTGTTGCATATTCATGGCGCGAGCCACCGGGCAGTCACAGGAGCAGGTTTCGAATGTTAATTGTCTGGGTTTATTAGTGTTCTAGTTAGGATTAAAAATGCAAATAACATCGTTTCCACTGGCTCCTCGCTTTGGCAGGAGCGCAGGGCACAGGAGACGGGCTTTTCGGAGACTTGACTCACGAGCTGCCTCGTTTTCTGTCGACTTTCACAATTCACCTCAGCTAAAGCTGGTTAGAGACAACCCGTTTGGGTGTTTCCCCCCTCGATTTCCAAAGGCTGCAGATGAAACCGCAGAGACGGCGAAGCCTTAGATCTCGCCAACCTTTTCTATTTTTAGAGCTCGATGTACTTTGCGCCCAATTCACCAACGGGCTGAGATCCTTCA